AGCTCTAGGTCTGATAAAACGGCTTTCAATCCTAAAGTGGACGTGCAAGGCAAGGTGCGGAAACTCTTCCAAACAATTGACTGCACGGGCGATGGTGCGATCAACTTGGAGGACGGTTTGGATTTCTGGGGCGAACGAGAATTAAATATCTCCCAGGGTTTAGGGTTTAGGAGTTTTTAGGGTTTTTAGAGTTTAAAAGGTTTCGGGCTCAAAATTCCATTGACCGGAAAGCCAGACAGATTTGTGGAGGTTCTGGGTGAGGGGTTTATGGGCTTATGTCTGAAGGGTTCAAGCTCAGGCAGTCCGGGATTTACAGCAGGTTTTGGGGCTTCAAAATCCTAAACCCTAAACCCTAAACCTCAACCTCCTTGTAGCTTCTTCAGTATGATACCGTTGATATAGGAGCATCTTCGGGACTTGCCATTACACCAGTGCACCGACTGTGAACTTCATGTTGAGCTATAGTCTAAAACCCTAAACCCTAAACCCCCTAAACCCTAAACGTTTAGGGTTTAGGGTTTAGGGTGTTGAGCTATAGTCTAAACTCCGTAAAGGGGGAAATAGAGTTAAAACTCTTTAAAGGGAGGTATATGGGGGATGATAGGGTTTAGAATTTCGAGTTTAGGGTCTAAGATCCTTAAAGGGGGAAATACCAGGGATTATGTAGGGGAGCACTTCAGGGGATATTAAGGGGGATACTAGTATAGACGATGGCTCATGTTGAGTGTTGAGCTCTCACTTGTAGGGCCTTTCCCAAGGTAATACAGTATGTGCCATGATGTCGCATTGAAACTACTATCCCTTCAAGAACCCAACATAAGTAGGCATGTGAATCTCTTGTGAGGCCGGCTTGCAAAAGTATTCCAACTCCTTCCAAGCTGCGCAGCTCTAGCATTAATGACAAATTTTCTGACGCATTCCAACCCCAAGCCTTAAGCCCAACACCCCAAACCCTAAGCCAATGCCGAAACTCTAAACTCTGTAAGTCACATACTGCATGTTGTTTGTGCTACGGGCCGATGTTCATCAACATGCAAAGTAATCCGGAGCTGGTTCAACCGGCAACATAGTTCAGATCGGAGATCCCTTAGAAATTCGAGGATGTACGTGGGCCCGACTGAAGGCGTAGTCTCCCACAACAGGGTCCCCTGGAAAGGGACCCAAATGTATGATATTTTTTTATCATGATATTGGAGACCCCCAGCAGGGATCCCCATTTCTAGGCAGCCTCCGAAGGCTGCTGGGCAATGTTCACGTGGAAAATGATTCATTTCCGTGGTAGGCTTCACACTGACATCCCCCCCAACAAACGTCCTCGTTGATGGGAGTGGCATGTTTCTGAGTTGTTCCTCAAAGGGGCTGATAACACTCCAACTAATCTCCTTCCGAAACCCTCATCCCCATCCATAAACCTCTTGTGCCAGCGTCAGTCCAATGTTTGCAAGCCAGGAATTCGCAAAGCTTGTGCAGTCGCCGAAGCTCAAGTTCTGGATGAGCCAGTTGGAGTTCCCCGTCAGACTTGGACCTCCCAATAGTGCAGAATCAAGCGGACAAGAACGTGGAAAGAAACTGAGAAGAATAGATGCGGTTGCTGCTATCTGGCACCGATTCGAGGACATATCCTCCTGCTACAGCAATCATTTTGTGGTTGTGCATATCTACGTGCATACTGCGTATGTCTTGTACATTTTGCTAAAATCAGTTTCCTACAAGGCCTCCAAACTGGTACAGTAACGCAAGGGATAGTAAGGAGTAATTGCTGCATCAGACCTAGTCATAGTAATTGAAGCTGTCAGGCTTGCAACCACAACATGGCCTTGCGTTGCGGCTAGATTCCTTGCAGTAGGGGCTTGAAGTAGACGTGGTGCTTCAACAGTTAGAAGTACGAAGAATAGTCACCCTGAAATTAAGTAGTTACAATGTGGGGTATATGGGATCTTATTATAGTATACCGTATACCCAAAGCCATATTCCATCTACTTAAGGGGGATTATACGTCTTGGCAACTATAAGGCTCCGCCTTCAGGGAGCTAGTGACTGCTAGTGGCTGACAGCGGGAACCTCCTCTCGTCATCGCACTTCCTTGGTGAGCAGCTCAAGCAGGTAAAAACCTATCATGACGTACCCGCGACCTTTCTTTGTTTACCCGTTACACCTGACGTTATCCCCACGTCTTAAGTGTGATTAGCGTTCTGGTTTTTGTTGCTCACATTGTTAGGACCTTTCCTGCAAGGGTGAATGGCTTGCCAGTGTGGATGAACTAGGCCTTGCATGACCTATCATGAGGCACATACTGCTTGTCTGAGACGGCTTACATCTCAGAGTTTAGGTATATGAAATCATGGCCCACCAGCTGTGTCTCCTTCGAAAATTTCTCGAAGATTGTCCCAGGGCTGCTTTCAACATACATTAGTAGCTTCACGTACACTTTGAGACTGCTTAGCTTTACTTGAACTTTGAAATTTTCGTGTTACTGCAGTCAAGGCTTTTCTTTTCTGTATGCAGCTCCAAAGTTTAAGATTCGGCGGACGTCAAAATACCATGTATGCAAAATATGATGGACGTGTGATATGAGGGTTTAATCTTTGCGACAGGGCGGCGCCATGCGCATATGCAGGTTTCGGGCTCTCACCCATGTAGGCGCTAGGATAGCATTAGCGCTGCGCCAGGTATTCATGTGTCGCAAGGCCTATGGCATCGATTCCAAAGATGACATGACATGAGCTGAGGATGGTTGCGTGCGAAAAATAATTAGCCTTCCAGCTTTTAAGTTAGGGTGGTTGGCGTCGAGGGCTTGGCGAAAGGAGGAAGTTCACACTTGTATGACCGATTTCAAGCCTTTTCTAGTCCCAGAGAGTGACGTGTCCAGATGCGCTGCAGTGCTTGCTCCAGCTGCATATTGCCAGCGTGCCAAAACAATCTAAATCATGAGGCGAAATATGCACTAGGTTGGCGCTAGCATCGCGCTAGCAAATATAAAGGGAGATAGCCTGCGTTGACCATTTTGCCATCCAAGACAGACAGCACCACTAAGACATCTGATTCCAGACATGGCCTGTGTGGAAGAGCTGACGGGGGCTATCCTCAGCGAAGCCCCAGACCCTACATTCCCACCCAGCTCTTCGAGGCCGGCCCCGCCCATTACGAGGGTGGTCAGACATTGAAGATACACTTCGGTCCACGGACCTTTGGGCGGAACCCATGGAGAATGGACAAATAGAGCTGCTGGAGACGACGCGTGAGATTTAAGAATGAAGGCGCTAGTGGGTGTTGTCAGGCTTTTGCCTAGGGTACAAGAGTCAGTTCTACTCTTCTTTAGTTGCCAAAGCCATCATTCCAGACCCCCTTTTCCTTTTTGTCATAAGGCGGCAAGGAATATTGACAGCCACCCAATAGTATGAAGAATTCGGACATGTTCTTGGCAGTTGCGACAGCTTCGATTAATTGGTTAATGTTCTGCAGCACGTCATGGGAGTTGTTCAGTCCAAAACTTATTCCCAGTTTAGGAGAGTGCAATCTCAGCAAGCATCATGTATAACAACATATGCAACAGAGGCTCGAATACCACGACCTGCTCAGCCTTTTCGAATTTCTTGACAATGGTTGCCTGGCCTTGAGCTTGAAACGAAGACGTGGATGCATGGATCGTGTTAATAGCATTTAAAGTTTTTGAAGGTTTGAGGGCCGTAAATGTCCAACAGGAGGAATCAGGAAACCGTAGTAAGGAAAGTCTGCGGAGCCTGGATAACGGGTCATCAAGAAATTTCGTGAACCGGGGGGGGGGGCACGGTTCGCTTGTGGTCCGCAGATGGCAGTGCCTTTCAGAGTTTTAGGAGTTGCGTTGAGGGTCTTGGTGGAAGAGGACACAGTTTCTTTCTGCAACGTAGGAATTCACGTGGGCTTGACGAGACTGTATCCTACACAGCCTGGGGCCTTCATGTTTTGCGGACATATTGTGTTTCCAGGTCGGGTTTCAGCAGCTTCGGGGGCACTGAAAGAAAGGCTGAAGGTACAAAACAATAGAATATGGCCTTTGGTATATTATAGCAGGTGCCATTATCCCCCTATCACCCCAACATAATCCTAATATGACCCCATATTGCTGGTGGGCTCGGGACTCTTTCCCGTCTGAGCTGCAGTCAAAGCCGAGGCTAGCTCAGAGGGTTGAAATTTGAAAGGAGCAATAGGGGTAGCTCCCAAAATTAAGGTGTTATTTGGGTACCCTTATTACGTGCCGTAGTATAATGTATAACCAAAAAAGGCCCAGTTTTTTGAGAATAACTTCTAGGTTCTCCTGGAATGTACCTGGAATCTTGTATTCAGCTACCATGTAGATTCTTGTACGCCCAGCCATATCCACTAAAGACCTTATTGTACCTTCATAGGCGTGCCTTGTACGAAGTTTGTCAAGCGAATCATATATGTGGTTGTAGCAATTACGTCAATATGGCAAGGCTCTACGATTCCCCTACGCCTTCTATGCGGCAACCCCAAGTACCCAAGCTCTAACCAGGCGACGGACAGATCACGCTCCTCGGACTGCGAATCTTGCTGAGGGTTAGTGGGAATAAAGGATTATACTTTATAGGGATCCTGTAAGGACCGTATTCCCTTATTCCCTACTAGCAACGAGTAAGTAATTGCTATCCAGGTCATGGTATGCTGAAACGGATGTTTCTCAAAATGAGGTTCCTTAGCGGGCCAAGGGATGAAATGGGATTACAAGCGGCCGTATTTAGGGAAGCCACTGGCATTCTCAGACCGATTTAAGGGGTTGTTTTGTGTCAGGGCGGTTGGCCCCAACTATATGAAGCCGACACTACCCCACCCCCAGGATGGCTGAGATGCGATGCGACCTAGGTGTCCTAGACACCCCGAAGCCCATACAGCCACCCTAAACCCTGTGTACCTCAAGCACCAAGCCTTAGTAGATCCTCATTCCTATGCTCTCTATTAACATTCCTAGACCCCGAACCCAAAACCCTGAAACCTGCACCCAGGCTGACAGAGTTCATCGAGGGCGCCGCACGACTCCGAGGCAACGCGAAGGCCTGGCGGCTTATGGTTGGTACTTTCTACGCTTGTAGCCCTAGGGGTCCAAGTACCTAAATACTATGTCATTAGGGCCCAAAGTACCTATATAGGAACCCCTTTGCCCCAAATTATCTGCTATGTGAGTACTTGGACCCTGAGGGGTAGGGTTTAGGGTTTAGATGGCCTTATTACGGCCTTGAGGAGGGGTTTCAGATGGCTTTAGGGGATAGGGGCTTCCGATGCTGCGCGACTCAGGTTTAGTTCTCGGAGCTTTGTGCCTCCGGTTTCAAGCTTTTCTTGTTGAATCGTGGCGTTGTGGTGAGAATCTGAATTAATACATTACCCTTAATAACCCCTATAGTAATCCCCTAGATAAACCTTTAAATAACCCTCTTTCAGGAGTTTAGATTAGCTGGAACCTTCAGGGACGACGCAAGGAAGTTGGCAAGTCGCCAGTACACTGGGAGCGCATTTAACAGACTGAGACGCCTCGCTCGCATGACATCCATCACTCTGCTGGCTAGGGTCGGTTATACAGGGATAATGGAAGAGAAAATGAAAGCTACTATATCATAGGGTTATAAGGCGGGGCATATTCAACATTTCAATTCGGTTCAACACCTACGCCTGCTTGTGGAGGTTCAGGACTTCAGGGCTGGGACGCAGACGTTTTCATAGGGGTCTGCAGCATGTCGACTTGCAAGCGGGGACTTCCACCCTATTGAGAAACCTGGACCTAATATAGTCCCCCGTGAGTAAATAGAATATGGGGTATATGGGGATCCTATAATAAATAATATACCCAAAGCCATATTCTATCTAGTTAAGGGGGACTATAACCCTAAACCCTAAATGATAGTTCTTTCCATTTTCTTTTCCATTATCCCTCTATGACCCTGTATAACCCCTACATGACCCGTCTAGAACTCCTATATAACCCCTATAAATCCTAAACCCAAAATAGTAGTTTCCATTTCTTTTTCCATAATCCCCATATATAACCCCAAGATATCCCAAATAGACCAGGAAAGCAGTGAGCTTCTGTCATCCCATCAGGCCATAGATATTTGGCGCATGGAGACGAAGCTGGAGGTTCTCTTTGAGGAGGTGTTGCTTCTTGGACCTGGGCTGTGCCGCTCTGAAGTGGGGTTTAGGGTTTAGG